CCAAAGTGCTGGGATTACAGGCTTGAGCCACCGCGCCTGGCTGTTGTTTTTTAACAGAATACCTAATTTGACACTTAGTTGCCTTAATGAAATAATGCAGTTTCTGCCTTCTAATAGGACATTTTTCATGCATACCCCTGTATAGTTTTGTCCATATATGAAAACATATACCCTGTAGATTTGGGCATTCTTGATTAAATATGATGAAAGCTGTACAACAAAACAGTACTAAATCACTTTAGGATTTTGCCGCTAAGATTGCAGAGTAAATCTAAGACTTTTATTTGCAAATGAGAAAGTGTGATGTACTGAAGAGGTTTTTAATGAGAGCACTTTACTCCACATGCTGTTTCTACTACTTAACTACTTGTATGGTGCCTTTTATAAAGTTGTCCTAACCACTTAGAGCCTTACTGTCTCCATTAAAAAAAGATTATGTGTAATTCTAACATTATAGCAATTACCTTTCAATGTGGTTGTGAGAGTTAAGAAAGTGCTTTGTAAATTGTATAGCATAGTAGAACTATGTGCTATAATATACAAAAACTCTTGGTTTTAAAGTAAATTTAATCTGAAGTGGTTGTAGTTTGACCAGTCTCTCTCCAACTTACTGTTCAAATTATTCTTCAGGCATTTCTTATCTGTGCTTGTACTGGGGAGAAATTAAGCCTTTCTTCTTCTTTTCTGTACTTCTCATTTACCTGAGTTCTGCCTCTTCCATATAGAGATGAAGAACTAAAGAGTTTGTTGGAGTAAAAGAATCAGAGAATGTGCCTTTGGCTGTTATGGGAATCTGATGTTTATTTTATATTGTAACTTTATTTGGTGAATACAGAAATAGGCTTAGCAATCAGTTTCTTTTTCCCTCTGAGCATGAATGTGTGTAAACATTGATTTTTTTTTTTTTTTTCCGTCTTCTAGTTGCAGCAGTTGGAACTTGCACAGATACAGCATAGAGATGCTAATCTCACAGCTCTTGCAGCTATTGGACCAAGGAAGAAGAGACCACTAGAATCTGGAAGTGAGGTATTGAAATAATGTTCGTTATCTTATTTTTAATGTCAAGAAAGCAAGCCAAAAAGAAGCAAAGACTTAAAAATAGTTTACCCTGTTATGCATGTTGTTGCTGCCAGACACTTCTGAAAATTCGTCTTTGCCAATTTTATAAAATCTTAATTTTTGCCAGGTTTTAAAGTTGTATATCACCTTGAACTTACTACTTATTTCATACTACTTGCTACTTATTTCATACTTTTTCTTTCCTCCATCTCCAGTCATACTGAGTCTTCCAGTATTTCATTTTTTTATTTCTGTACATTCTTTCTAGTGTGTTTATGCAATCCTGTTCTGTCTGTCTAAATCTGGCTAATCTTCTAAGACTGAATCTGCCTTCTTATTTCTTCTATGAACCCTGACTATTCATTCCCATACCAGCTTCTCTTTTTCAGAGTACATGTGTTTTGCATGGCATTAATTGTTCCTTATATGAACATTTTCTCTTCTGTTAGATTATAAACTTTTTGAACAAGGACTGTAATATTAGTCTTTTGTATTCCCCTTAGAATAGGTACATGTTTACTCAATAAATATCCTTAATTATTTGGATTAAGAAAGGATCTTACATCTGTAATACTAGCCTTTTAGCTTTAGGAACAATCATCAGGGCTGAGACAGAGGTATGCTAAGAGCTCTGGCAGGGCATGGTAGCTCACACCTGTAATCCTAGCACTTTGTGAGGCCAAGACAGGCAGATCACTTGAGGTCAGGAGTTCAAGACCAGCCTGACCAACATGATGAAACATCATCTCTACTAAAAATACAAAAATTAGCTAGGCATAATGGCAGATGCCTATAGTTCCAGCTACTCGGGAGGCTGAGGCAGGAGAATCACTTGAACCTGAGAGGCGGAGGGTCAGCGAGCCAAGATTATACCATTGCACTCTGGGCAACAGAGTAAGACTCCATCTTAAAAAAAAAAAAAAAAAAAAAAAAAACTCCGAGATGAGGTCACTAATAAAAGAGCTATAGCTCATCTTATTCTTCTCTGTATAATCTAAATCTTTTTGAAGCAGGCTTCCCACCAATGTTGATCCTGAACATTGGTAGTTTCTAAATGAATGCCACTCACCTTAATAGATGAAAGATTTTAAAATTCTAGTTCTTTTTCATTTTAAATGTAATATATGAAATACCCCCTCTCCTGCCCAACCAGATGTAACGACTGTTAAGTTTTTCACATATCCTTCCAGGGATTTTTTTATGAATATGGGCGCATGTCTGACATGCATTCACAAATCTACATGTGTGGTTTTGTTTTTAGTTAAATATGATTAAACTATACCTATTATTATGCCCTTGATGTTTTCCCCCTTTCCACAGTCTACCTCATATAATTTACTTCCATACTCTTTAAGGGTGTATGGCATCATTGTATTTAAGTAAACCGTAATTTATTCAACCAGTCCTCCAGTAGACATTTAGATTGTTTCCAGGTTTTTTCTTTTATTGCCTCAGAGAACATTTTTGTACTTACATTGTTGTGTGCTTGTACAATATAAGTACAGGCAAAATTCAAAACATGGAATTCCTGATTTAAACAGTATGAACATTAGGAAAAACTCTATGGGAAAAAAATTCAAACATATACAAAAGTAGAGAGAACAGTATAATGAACTCTTCAGTGGTTGTGAACATTAAGAAAGGGCTTTGTCGGGGCCGGGCGCGGTGGCTCAAGCCTGTAATCCCAGCACTTTGGGAGGCTGAGGCGGGTGGATCACGAGGTCAAGAGATCGAGACCATCCTGGTCAACATAGTGAAACCCCGTCTCTACTAAAAATACAAAAAATTAGCTGGGCATGGTGGCGCGTGCCTGTAATCCCAGCTACTCAGGAGGCTGAGACAGGAGAATTGCCTGAGCCCAGGAGGCGGAGGTTGCGGTGAGCCAAGATCGCGCCATTGCACCCCAGCCTGGGTAACAAGAGCGAAACTCCGTCTCAAAAAAAAAAAAAAAAAAAAAAAAAAAAAGAAAGGGCTTTGTAAATTGTATAGCATAGTAGAACTGTGTCCTATATAATGTACAAAAACTGATTTTATTTTAAAGTAATTTTCTTTATATCTGAAATGGTTTACTATAGCTGGATCAATCTCTCTCTAACTTACTGTTCAACTTATTCTTCGGGTGTTTCTTATCTGTGCTTATACTGTTATGTATAGCACCACCCTGCTACAGCGACCATCAATTTAATTTTATTTACTTATTTATTTTTTTATGTAGAGACAGGTCTTGCTCTGTCATCCAGGCTGGAGTGGCACAGTCTTGGTTCACTGCAGCCTTGATTGACTTCCTGGGCTTAAGCAATCCTGCCACCTCTCATTCACTCAAGTAGCTGAGCTACAGGCACACACCACCATGCCTGTCTAATTTTTTTTTTTTTTTGGTGGAGACAGGATTTTCCCATGTTGCTCATGTTGGTCTGGAACTCCTGAGCTCAAGCAATTCACCCACCTTGGCTTCCCAAAGTGCTATGATTGCAGGTGTGAGCCACCTCGCCCAGACAGGACCATCAGTATATGCTTAATCTTGTTTCATTTATATTTGCATCAACTTTCTTAAAATTTTCATCCCTCAGATTATTTTAAAGTCATTTCCATACTCAGTATTATTTAATACATAAATATTATTTGTTGCTCATGATTTTTATTAACTATTTAAAAATTATCCTCTAAGTTGTATCAGTTTTTATATTCATTAGTGTGCCTTTCTCAGCACACTCCCATTAATACTGGGAATTATCTTGGCATCTATGGCTGCCTGAAAATGCGATTTTTAATAGAGTGTTTAAATTATGAGTAAGTGGAGTGACTTTTCATGTATGAATAGGCATTTTCAATTTTTCTTTTCCCCATGGAGTTATATTTTTCAATCCATTAAGGAAATAGAACAACCCTTTTTCCCTGGCCCTGTTTTCTTTCACTTTGGGCTTTATTCATCTATAAGTTTTTATCTTTCCTTTAAAAAAAGCCTCAGTCTTTCATTTTTATTTTTGTCTTTTGAGTTTATAGTCCATTTAGAAAGCCATTTCTTAATTAGAATTATGTGTTACTACTTTTATCATTTCACTTTTTAAGTATAAATCTTTGATTTATAGTGAACCTGGGGTAAGAGTTGTTATGTGGATTGAGCTTTAGTCCCTCAGTCCTCTCTCATTCTCCCTTAGGCTGATTGTCCCAACACTGTTTACTCAATAATTCTTTCCCTGCTGATTTGAAATGCTGCCTTTATTACACATAATTGTATATCAGAAATACAAATTCTCATACTTGGGTCTATTTCTGTACACTCTGAACCAGTGTTCTCTAATTGAACTTTCTATGAATCATTTCAGTATGTAGTAAGACAGGCCTTCCAAAGCAACAGACTTGTGGTCTTCTCAAACTGAGTGCTGTACACATTTCTTTGACTGTAGCTGATAGAATGTTTTTGGTTTTGTTTTTTGTTTTGAGATGGGGTCTTACTCTGTCACCCAAGCTGGAGAGCAGTGGTGCGATCTCAGCTCACTGCAACCTCCACTTCCCAGACTCAAGCCATCCTCCCACCTCAGCCTCTTGTGTAGCTGGGACCACAGGCACATGCCACGTCGCCTGACTAATTTTTTTTTTATTTTCAGTAGAGACTGAATTTCACCATCTTACTTACCCAGGCTGGTCTCAAATTCCTGAACTCAGGTGACCCGCTGCCTCAGCCTCCCAAGGTACTGGGATTACAGATGTGAGCCACCATGCCTGGCCTATTATTTTATTTTTATTTCTTGACTTCTTTATTTACACTCATTTTATAAAGGGAGAGTTATAGAATTATTAAAGCCAGATCTCTTTGAATTGTAATATTTAGATTAGATTTGAGAAATAACTTACTGACAGCATTTTAAACCAGCTTGAATTTACCTCCGTGTATAATCTCTAACATGTTTTCCAGTGACAGCATTTTATGAAACATATATAAAAATATGGAATGCTTCATGAATTTGCTTGTTATTTTGCACAGGGGCCATGCTAATCTTCTCTGTATCCTTCCAGTTTTAGTATATGTGCTGCCAAAGTAAGCATGCCAGCATTCTTTAAGTTTCTCTAAAATGAAGTGGAAACTCCCTAGTAGAGTAATAAAAGGAGGTAGATTGCTCAGTCAACAAATGATTATTGACTTAGGGGGAAGGGAAGGGTTAATTTTATTCCCTTCCCTTTTATTAATCCATGGGATCTCCCGTGTCTGCCATGCTCTGTCACTGCTTAAAGCAAGCTGTGTAGATACCTTTTTATTTGAGAGGAGGAGATGTTTAACTGTGTTCACATTTAAAATGTCTGAATGGTATATAAGAGTATTTTTCCCATGTCAGTAAAGAAGAATATTTAAAATAGCTTTTCCTTGTATATTCTTTCTGAAAATTTCCATGCATATATTAGGTCAAACCATATGAACTTGTAATTTTTTTAGGGGAACAATTGTTAAGTATTGGCAGTTTCAGATAGTTCAACCTAATACAATCATTATATATATGTGCTTTTAAAATATATATGTAATAATTATAGTTTACCTTTATCAAGCAATTAGAATGTCTTATCTTCATTAGTCCTCACAATTCCTCTGTAAGATCATACTATTGTTTTCCTCAAATGGAAATACTGTGGTATAGAGAAGACTCGTTGCTTACTCAAAGTTCTATAATTAGTAAGTAGAAGAACCCAGGTGCATGTCCAAAGGAATGTGCACTTTTAACTACTATAATGGGATCATCTTAAAAGCACTACTCTATAACTTGTTGGACAATGTGTCTTGGACATTAATAGGATTCTCCAGAAGGGTATACCAGTAGGACATACATATATACATGTATGTACAGGGCTATTAAAGATGGGAATTGACTCACATGATTATGGAAGCTGGGAAGTCTCACACTATGCTGTCTGCAACCTGGAGACCCAGGAACTTTGGTGATATAATTCAGTCTGAATGTGAAGTCCTGAGAAACAGGTGAGCCAGTGGTGTAGTATAACTCTCAGTCTAAGGCTGAAGGCCTGAGAATAGGAGTGGGGAATTAATTGGAGGTGGACCACTGGTGTAAATATTGGATGGAGAACCTGGAACTCTGATGTCTGAAGGCAGAAGATGCATGTACGAGCTCTACAAGAGAGAGTGAATTTGCCCTTTCTTTACCTTTTTGTTCTGTCCAGGCCCTCGACTGATTGGATCATGCATCCTTACATTGGTAAGGGTGGTTCTTCTTTATTCAGTCTCCTGATTCAAATACTAATCTCTTCCCAAAACACATAGAAACAATGTTTTACCAGCTATCTGGGTAACCCTTAGCCCAGTCAAGTTCGCACATAAAAGTAACCATCACAGACATTTTCCCATACTGGTACATATCTACTTATAAACAAATGGAAATATTCTTAAATGTCTGTTATAAATAATGCATCCTGTATCTTCATGTCATCATTTATTTTACAGGATTGATTTATAGAAGTGGCACTTCTAGGTCTAAGGATATGCACAAAATTTAGTAGATACTCATAATGCTTACCTAAAGCATTCTAAAAGTTTCCACTGCTGATGAGTGCCTATTTCCCCATTTTCTTGCTAGCAACAGATAGGATCAATCATTTAAAAATGTTTGTCACTGCAATTTTTATTTATTGCCTCTCTACCATTCCTATGTGCCCTTTCAAAGGTTGAAGTTCTGTTTTTACATGGAAACATGATATAGAAGTGTTGAGCAACCTTTAAAATACCCTATATGAAAAATACTTAGATTTTAAAATGTTTAAGTATTAAAATCATTTAGGGATAATTTTTTCATAACTTAGAAATGTGTACATTTTCAAATAGAGAACCAGGTTGAATTCTTATAGATATTTAAATGATCTTAAGTAGGTGTCATTTTCTTTACCATATTTGCTAGTTTTTATCATTTGAGGATGGGGTTAGATTATAATTGAAATATTAAGCCTGAAATTATTTTGGAAAACTCAAAGGCTTAAAATCTTTTAGGGGGCATATAGTATTTTTCAAAGATAATTGTCTGTTTCTGGTTGCTGTTACAGGTGATTCTTCACTCTGAAAAGGTGCATACGTAATTTAACTAAAAGTCTATTCACATGAAAGGCCCAGTTTTAACTTGCGTTTCCTTAAGGGGCACAGGTAGCAGTCACTCTTTACCCCCATTCTCTTCCACCAGGCTACAGGGAACCACAGTTTTCTGAAGTGTTTCTTATTTATTTGTTATAGCTGACTTATTAGATGTTTAAACAGATTTATTGTCATCTAACACTTTTATAAATATGATATAGATTAAGTAGAATTTAGAGCATGCTGTTACTTTAGACAAAGTGGCTCTTTATAAGTTTTTTTTTTCTTTATATTCTCTTTTGTTCTCACTTCATGAACAAATCTTTCTCACTGTTCATGAATGGCCTAAATATAAATCTGAATTTTAATTGTGTCTTTAAAATTTTCCAAAGATTTAAAAGTTGACTCTTTGTTGGCTGTCTTAATGTGAAATATGTTAAATTGCATATTATCGGCTTATCCTTTCTTTGCAAGTCCCACATAAATGAGAGAGACTGAAAACATATATTAACAAGAATAAAGAAGAAAGGAGAAAAATGGTAGTAAAGGTATTTAGTAGAATTTGAAACTTGCTTCAAACTACTGACTAGAGGTATTCTTTCTGAGAAAAATAACTAGCCTAAGAGAGGAGAGACGAAGCCTGAAATACTGATAGTCAGATGCATTGCTTTTAAATAACAACAGATTGGCAAGGATCACCAGATATTTAAAGAAAAGCCTTTATGTGAAAGATAAAAGGAAGAATATGGAAGAAAAACAAGGCATGAAGCAGAAGGAAACTGAAAAAGGGGAAAAGAAAGGAAATGGAATATATTACAATCATTACAGTAGACTAGAAGGCTATTTGAAAGAAAAGCAGTTGGGGAAAACGAAATACCGCTTTGGAAATGTAAGGTGTAATGAAAGAAATAAGCAATGATAGAAGAGTTAGGAGTTAAAACTCAGGACTGCTCCATAAAAGTGACTTTGTTTTTAAGACAAAGATGGTGTGCTGGACTTGTATTGTGTCAAACTAGCTAAGCTGGAACTGTTTCCCAGATTTCTTTTTTCTTTTGCATTGTTAGCATGGGCCATGAAGCATTTTGACTTTGAAAGGTAAATGTGAAACTGCAGTCATATTCTTATGCTCAGAAGATCAGGGTGAGGACAGCAGATGCTATTTGCAACTCATAGGCATTGCTGGCATGGGCTGGCATAGGCATGGCCCAGCAGCTGGGTTCCGTGGGTTCTCTTCTCTTTTGGCTTCTCCGAACACTGGGCCAGACCTAGCACCAGATGCAGAGTTACAGCTTAACATGAACTCTTTAACTAGGTTAAAAATTACTTATGGCCAAATCTCTGATAAGACAATTTGTGTCGGCTCCTCTCCCTTCACAAAGAGAACACGTTTGGATTTTAAAGGCAACATGCACCTCATTTAATCTGAAATGGGGATTGTCCCCCATTTCATGACCCTTGCTCCGCCTTATTGCCCTAATCAGGAGCTCCAAAGCTTACCCTATTCTCTTACATTTAGTGTGTGGAATCTATCCTCCCACTTTGTCTTACTGTTTTATTTTCAGTGGGCTTTTCACTGTCTGCTCTTCCCAGGTCCCTTTCTTGTTATTGTCACTCTTACCTTTTGACTCCTCAGACTGGTGATTTCTTTTACCTCCTGCCTTCCTTTTTAATGTGAATTTTTAAATTTAAAATGTTTATATTCATCAAAATGAATATATATATATTGTAGGAAATATAAAAAGAAATTAAAGGTTATCTAAAGAAAATTTATTGCCAGTTGCTTTCCTCTCAAAGTTAACCAGTTTACATTCTTACCAGTGTTTTATGAAAGTGTTTATTAGTATCTCATCAATACTGGGTATCTTGTGATTTAAAAAAATAATCCTTGACGGCTTTTTTCATCTCTCAGTCTTTTGAATTGAATTGTTAATCTTCTTTCCATCCTTTATTTAGGAGTCATAATATACTTGTTGAGATGGCATTTGTATGATTCATTCATTCATTCCTCCCTTTGTTCACCCAGTGGTACCAAGTACAATGGCTAGGTCTCAGCTTGCTTGGAATTTAGTAGTCCAAAAAGTTAGCTTTCTTTATCATAATAGTGCTGGATCTATGCTGCCATGGCCTTTTCTGCCTTAACACAAAACATGATTAGGGACGTACAAGGAGCCCATAATGCACCTTATTAGCATGGTGGCCATGATAGACACTTGTTAAACTGAAAATTAGCAGTCTATTATTAGCAAAATATTAAGCTCACAGAGCTATCTCTGAACCTTTAAGATTCCCATATCTTTTCCTCAGGTATTTTTAGTGTCTCATTAAGTATTATAGTCACTGTTCTTCCCAGGGCAAATTGTGTGTTGATGTTTTATATATGATACTTGAGGCTTTACATGGTATTTTTTTCCCCTTTAAATCACTTTAATTATAGTTAGCCTAATCATGAACTTTTGCTAAGTTTTTTTTTTAAAGGCTGTCCAGCTTTAAGACAATTTCTATGAGTTTTCAAGCTCCTACGAAGCAGTTTTTGAAACACTCTCTCTGTCTGCTTCTTCTGTAATTTAGGCTACTATTGCTGTCCTTAAGTTGTAGTATTTTCACATGACCAGTTACATTGTTGTTATTCCATAATGTGGTACCTGTTTCTTTCTGCCTCTTATGCAGCTGTTTGGTATATGCTTCAGTGACTGTGAGAAGCACGTATTGCCTGTTATAAGATTACCTATAATAAGTATCAGTCAGGTCTTAGAGCAGGTGTCCCCAAACTACGGCCCGCGGGCCGCATGCAGCCCCCTGAGGCCATTTATCCGGCCCCCCGCCGCACTTCAGGAAAGGGCACCTCTTTCATTGGTGGTCAGTGAGAGGAGCACAGTATGTGGTGGCCCTCCAACGGTCTGAGGGACAGTGAACTGGCCCCCTGTGTAAACAGTTTGGGGACGCCTGTCTTAGAGCATTTTCCAAAGTGATAGATGAGTGC